TCACAGGGTCAAAACCTGACAACTCCCTCCCAAAAAGCATTTTGAGTGTACTTACATCAAATTGACAACAACAGTTCAAGAAGGCAACTGCTTGAGGTGGTCATGAGCGAAGGATGGGTAACAAATAATGGCCGAGCAGGCGGCTGCCAACTTGCGAACATTTATACTTACAAACAAGATACTATTATTAATATTAATTCAAATGAATGAAGTGAAAAATGAAGTCACTGTTACTAATAAACAGTCCAAAAATATCACGCATCAACTACAGCCCTCAGTACCTTTAATTTATTTAGATTATATTCAGTCAAAAATTTGATCATAAACCACACTGGGTCATGTTACTTACAAAAATGAAAAACTATTTTATTGATCAATTTTAATTGAAAACGCATTGCAAAGCACTTATCTGCCACATGATTTCTAATTAATAACTCAGCCCAAAAACCTTGTTGTTCTGAGTGGACTAGTTATCGTTACCTGCACATGAAATGTAAAATGTACTATACACTGTGACTATAATTTGTTTGCAGAGGACAATTTCCCGAATTCTCATTACAATAATTTTTCGGTTCCTGTACATATGCTAACTAACACCTATTAAAAATGCACAGGCAGTAACCTGGTTACCAATGGGATCTCATCTCGAGCATATTCAAAGTCGATTCGTAGACAAGTTGGAACACAATACAATATAAACTAGCCGTCTGTAAGCAGAAGAAAATGTTCATATCGGATCTTTAGAATTAATATAGGACCTTGTTTGTAAGTATAAATGTTCGCAAGTTGGCAGCCACTCGTTAACAGTTTAATATTAAATGAATATGATGCCACCTAGTGGAAAAAGTCAGAAGTCACATGACACCAGGTGTAGCCCAAAAGGTTTATTTGGAATCACAAGCTTTCATAGCCTAGCCCCTTTATCCGGTGAAGCTTGTGATTTCAAATAAAACTGTTGAACTACAACCTGGTGTGTTTCTTTTGACTTTGTCCACCACAGTTCAACACTGACACATCCACATCATGGCTACCTAGTGGAAAATGCCTGATTAAAAATCAACTGGAGCAATAACTGTGGCCATAACTATAAAACTGAAATGATTTAAGGGCACTATACATTCTAACCTTCCATACCAAAACATTAGAATATTAAACCAGCATAGAAAATCTGCAGGAGCTGATGACAGCCATTCAAATTCCAGTGTGTCAAATTCCAACCAAGAAAAGTTCTCTTATTTTCCAGGTCTTTCTCCATAACCTTTCACCGCATTGCCAAGTTTTGTTTTCAATATAATGAAAGCCTCTGCCTATAATCACTGTTTCATATAGTGAATTCCAGATACCCATCAGTGTCTGGGGAAAGAATTCCTGAATTCTCCTCTCATCTTTCTGCTGGTTACTTTAAATCTATGCACTCTGATTATTGATCTCTGTCACTATCCAGCTGATGTAGGACACTCAATTTTCTCACCTCAATTAAATCAGCCTCCTCTACTTCAAAGAAAAATCAACAACAGGCTAAGTAAGCTCTCAAAATTCTGCAGTTCTGATAAGTCCATATAGATTTCCTCTGTACATTCTGTAGTGCAATACTTTCTGTAGTGCTATAACCAGAACTATATATACCAAGCTCTAGCTGAAGCCTAAACTGTGTTTTATATAAGGTTCCAGAATGGCCTCCATGCTCTAAGCCTCAGCAAATAAAAGGTAAGCATGCTATATTTTTAATGACATTAACTACCGGTTCTCCTATCTTCAAGGGCCCATGGACATGCACTCTGATGCACCCATGTCCTTCTACCTTTCAGCATCCTTACATTTATTGTGCATTCCTTTGTCTTATTTGTCACTGCTCAAATGAAGACCTTGCATTTCCATGAATCGATTTCCATTTACCAAATTTTTGCCCTCGTCATTCATTATCATCTTTCTGCAGTCTACTATGAATCAAAACCCAACAATTAAGTTTAAGTGAGATACCAGAAAAAGCAAGAGAACTAGTACTGAGGCCACCCCAACCCGAATAGAAACAGCCTTATGTCACAAAAATACTAGGGGACCATTATCTTTTGCTTCCTGACACAGAGCCAATTTTAGGCCCATCTTGCTACTTTCTTCAGATTCCACAATCCTTTACTTTTTCTACATAGAACAGTATTGAAAGTCTTAAAAATGTAACCTATTTCAAAGGTGTCATCATTGAATCCTTTGAGAAGGGAACAAGAAAAGACAATCAACACAATTTTTCTTTGACAATGACCATTGAGTAATCTGCACCTAAATAATAACTTATATTATTTGAAAATTCATCCAGTAATTGCCGATCACACAGGGGTTTAAAAACTAAGTAATTGGGAAGAATGAGTCAAGCATTTAAACGTACCTTACATTTTCATTTTTACAGTCAATCTTCTTGCCTGGTGAACAACCAAATTAGAGAATTTTTATGTGAGAAGGCACATAACACTAAAGAATTGACTGGGACCAGACAGAAGTCCATGGAAGTATCAAACAGACTGGGCAAACTCCAAACACCTCATCTGTCTGATCTAATCTGCACTATATTTGGAACAGTCTGCACTCAAACTCCAGATTTATCAGCCATCTCCGAATCCTCCAAACCAGTGGCAGCAAGTCATTCTCCATTCCAAAGATCTGTGTAAGGAGAAGCTATAAAAAGCAGGAAAGATAAAGAATAACTGCATATCAAAAGGCTGATTTTGGTGTGATAAGGCTCTGAACCACTTTATCATGAAGGTTCCACAGGCAAATCCTCAGTACGTGATGTTAACCTATCATGATCCCAACATCAGCAGAGAACTTTTAACTGGCCTTTGTATCTCCTGGCTAAAGAGTAAGAGTGAAAATTCAGCCAATACTCCTAATCATTCCATGGTTACTGCTGATACAATTTGTTTCTGCAAGTATCAAGTGATTAGCCTGCTGATCTTCCTATTTCTCCACCCAAAAGCAAAATAGCCCACCACAGACTTCCCCCATTTGCAATGTATGATTTCTAAAGGAGCTTTCCAAACATATAATGCCATACTTCAGCATGTCAAAGGGGCTAGGAAAGGGTTAATGAAACAAATTTTCAAAATAAATCATCTGAAGGAAGGTATTTGCAGGCATAATTTCAGTTGGTTTATCCAAACGCAACAATGAACATTTAACAAAAAAAAACTTAATTTCTGCACAATCTGTTGCTTAGTGCAACATTTGTTCAACAACTGTCAGAATCAGTTTTGCTTCTCTTTTCAATACCAGAAAACACTTGCAGATGCATCATGTTCTGAGATTCAGTGGGCCTAAATTGTACTTTCTTTTACATTTGTGGTTGTGTGCACTGTTTCATAAGTAAGAGAAGATATTCAAAAGCTATGTGAGAATCCTATAAAAAGTAAAGAAAGATGCTAAATGTTCTAAAAGAGTTGTATCAGTTTCAGAAGTTTTATTTCTTTTTCTCTGATTTAAAAAAATTTGCCTGACTTTTCTTAAGAGCTAGGTGGCATTCATATTTGCCAAAAGCTGTGGCTCTCTTACTTGGTCAAAATTTGCATATCAACTCGAGTGGGTACTACATTTCTAACTAGGATAACAAATATAAAAAGAATAATGTCTTTTGTTCACAAAGAAATCACATTGCACAAAAAAGTGCTCTTAAAACCACTTGTTAAGAATTTATATTTCTGCTAGTAACGGTAGCTAAAATTTTGAAAAAGCAGATTGCTGCTTCTGTAACTACAGATGCAGCAATGCAAGGGACGCGTAGGAATACAAGATCTCTACATACAAGTGCTACAAAAGAACATATTCGGAAAGGAGGTTGCTGTCATCTGGGAGAGTGACACAAAAATTAATGGGCTGGGGAGAGTTGGCAGAGAAGAAACGTATTTACAATATTACATTGTTCTTGGTGATAGGTGATTAATCTGTCATACAAGTAACTAATTAATTGCTCAGTGCTACAATGTCATACAGTTATACAGCACAGAAACAGGCCCTTCGGTTAAACTAGTCCATGCCAATCATAATCCCAGACTAAACTAGTCTTATCTGCCTGTGTCTGGCCCATATCCCTTCAAATATTTCTTAATAACTCTAAGAAATCTCAAAGTAAATCTAGAAATAAGCCTGAATCTCAAGAGCAAATGTTCTGACAGGCTTCAACAATGATCTCATAAAACATAGACCTGATGTATTCAGAAACAATCTGATGATAGCACAATACTCAGTAACTTACAGTTCTGGAATCAACCAGAAACAGTAGTACATACAGCAGAAAATCCAACAAAGCCAAGTCAGTCCAGTGAAAAACTTTGATGTTGCTTTACCAATGAACTCAATCAGTGAAATCAAATCAGTTATTATGAAATGAAAAAGAAAAATCAGATACTGCCTCAAAGTGAAGTTGGGATATTAGCACCTTTCTGCTGAAAATGCTCAACCCTCCTTGCTCTAAAGTTTCCATTCTTCCATATCACGTACTAGCTTGAAACCAGAAGCGCTGCATAAAGGTGCCATCTGGTACAGTAACTACCTAATGTATATTCAACTCTGTGTATTGTTCAGTTTTTGGAACAATCCCTGAGAATAACACGCTACAAAAATTGATGAACTATGTTTTGCAGCAAATTTAGGATTACTTTAAGATTTCTCCAGTTCGGTTAGCCCCTCAAAATGAATGAAATTAACAGCCATTTAACAATTATATTTCAAATAATCTCAGATTCAAGAGATAGGAAGTGAATCAGTATAGTAGCATTTGTCCTTAATATCCTGGAGGAAACTTTTCCCACCTATTCTGTGAATTTTTGCACTATTGTTTAGAGGACTTGGTTAAAAATAGTAAACAATCGTTTAGGAAAACATCAAATTTGGAAGAAGGAAATGTAATTCTGGAACATTCTGCTTTATGTTAAAACTAACACAGGAAGATGGCAACATCTGCAACACAGTCAGCAAAACATGCCATTCATAAGAGATTGTGAACTAAGTACCATTTTGTAAGCCCATCCAGAGTTGTTTATGATCCTTTTTCTGCATCTCATTGATTACTTGACTTTTGTGCTTTAAGGCATCAGCTTCCTTAATGCAAGACATAAAATGAGCTTCAACAGCATCTTTTGTGAGGCAATGAAGAAGTTCCGATTCAGGGAAATTCTGGAAAAATAGAAAACATAATATTGTGCTAGGTGAGCAAGCGTACAATCAACCAGCACAGGGTAATAAGAAGAAATTTATCTTCAAACAGATAATACTGTTTGACAATGCTGATAACCCAAAACGATAGCCACAGTGGAATGGCAGAGCAAGCTGAAATTGTCAGATGGCCTATACCTGCTCTAATTCTTCCCCCCGCCCCCCCGAACAGAGTTGAATGCAGCAGTGACTCGAAGTTGGCCTTATTTTGAACACATTCCTGAAAATGAGTTGAAATATGATAGAATATTGCAGCACTACTTTTAAGGCCTTGTATTTATTAAAAACATAAACAAACTTTACTGTTGTTGGCTCAGTGAATATACCTAGTAACTAATTAAGCTTTTCAGAATTACTCAAGCCTCAGCATTGGTCTATGCAGAGTTATCGTTCATGTGGACCTATGAAAAGGAATGATTTAGTCGCAACTCAGAAATCAGGTACAAGTCACACTCAACTGCTGGAACTTCAGTCACTTGCTGTAAGTGGATGTAAACATACACAAAAGACCGCTTCATTAAACAGTGTAAAAAGAAACAATGTAACAACGTCATATTAATCACTTATTTTCACATTATCATTTAGAATACATTACAAAGTACAAGAGTAAACAGTGCCGGATACAAAATTTAACTTTTCAAACATACTAATTTTTAAATTAACATTTAAATATATAGAGGAACAGAGCTCCTGTATTGACGTGACACTGGTCACAACAGGATGTCCCAAACAGTGCTTTTCAGCCAATGAAGTATATTGACATGTTGTTAGTTAAGAAGTATCTATAATTTAGAGAAACATGACAGTTAACTTACACACAAGGTACAAGACATGCTGACCTAAACATGCAAATAGAGGCTTCAAAATTATGACAACACACATTCAATACTGAACTGATGGGTTCAAGATAATTATTTTCTCTTATTTACTTTATAGCACCTAAACAGCTTCAAACCTCCTCTCCAGTTCCTTCAACGCAATTATTCCAACATACTGAAGAATTGGCAGTCATGTTATTCACCATGTAATGACCTTTTCAAGGAATCAGAAAACTTTAAGAGACATTTGGATAGGTACATGAATAGGAAATGTTTGGAGGGATATGGGCCAGGGCCAGGAGCAGGCAGGTGGGACTTGTTTAGTTTGGGATTACGTTCAGCACGAATGGTTTGGACCGAAAGGACTGTTTCCATGCTGTATGTCTCAATGAAAACAGGTGTAGCTAGATCCCAGCAGTTCTTCCTTTATTCATTCAACATCAAAAGGCTAACAGGTTTAGGGTACTCAGTCATACAGAACATTATGGATGTTCATGAAATCAATATTATCTTGCCCTATTCCTCCGATCAACATAAATTAAAAGGCGTACGAGTTACAATATCTATCAAAAACATGGAAACAGTATTTAATAAGAGGTGGTGGCGTGGTGATGCCACTGGTCTAGTAATACAGCAAACCAGATTAAAGTGTTCTGGGGACATGGTTCAAATGGTGAAATTTGAATTCAATAAAATCTGCAATTTAAAAACTGGCAAGTACGTAAGAACTTGGAGCAGGGGTACGCAATTCAGCCCCTCAAGCTTGCTCCGTCATTCGATCATGGCTGACCTCACTCTGGCCTCAACTCCACTTTCCTGCCAGGTCTCCTTAACACTTTTACTCATTACTAATTCAAAAAATATCGATCTACCTACTCCTCAAATTTAATCAAATTTACACAGCAACTGTGTAACCATTGTTTATTATTGTAAAGACCCATCTGGTTAACTAACATCCTTTAAGCAAGGAACTCTGCTATGCTTACCTGGTCTGGCCTACAATGACCTCAGACCCAGAGCAATGTGGTTGCCTCTTATGTGCCCTCTGGAATAACTAGAAATGGGCAACAAATGCCAGAGATAGCCACAGTACACACAACTAAAATTAAATGATGTTGATGAAAGGCCCTCACAAACTGCTTTGCCACATTGTGATATTATAACAGTAACCAATTTCAAGTAGCAAATACTTATGAAGCACAAAGAATCTTGAAATGCCCCTTTTTAAGCAATTATTCAACATATTTCAACATGTTGAAGACTGCAACAACTATTATAGTTCATGTGCCTGCAAAGACTGTCACCAAAATGGAATGGATCTCATTTACTGTGTTGCTGGCCTGAGTTTCCACTGCACAGTGGAGATATGGCTATTTCTTTGCCCTCAGCAGAGAGATTCTAGTAGAGTGATCCCAGCAAAGGGCAACCGTTACCAGCGTCTTCCAGAAATCTTGGAAAGAATTGCTCGATTGTAACAAATCTGAATACTGCTGAAATTACATCAAGAAGGCGAATGCAATGCTGGTCTTCGTATCTAGAGGACTGGAGTATAAGCTCACAGAGGTTATGCAGCAGCTATACAAAACCTTGGTTAGACACCACTTGGACTACTTCAGCAGATTTGGGCATCACACCTTAGGAAAGATATACTGGCCTATTGGCCTTGAAGGGATTCCAACAAATGGTACCTGGACTTCAGGGGTTATGTGAAAGGAGAGATTATGCAAAAGGAGAGATTATGCAAAAGGAGAGATTATGCAAATTAGCCTGCTTTCTTTAGAATACAGAAGGATCAGGGATGATCCTATCAAGTCTTCAATACATTAAGAAAAGACAGGGTAGATAAAGATAAACAATTCTACTGGTTGGGGATTCTTGGACTGGGGCATAGTCTGAGAATTGGGGCGAGACCATTCAGGAGAGATGTTAGGAAGCACTTGTACACATAAAGGTTGGTAGAGGTTTGGAATGCTCTTCCACAAACAGTAGGTGCTGCTAGATCACTTGTTAATTTTAAATCTAAGAGTTTTTTTTATTAAGGGATTTTGTTAAGGGATATGGGCCAAAGGCAAGTATATAGATTAAGCTACAGATCAGCCATTAGGTCACTGAATGCTGGAACAGGCTCAAGGGTCTACTCATGTTCTTATGCTCCTAACCATGTTGTAAAAACATTCTTACTTGCGCTCATCAGGACAATCATAAGAATATCCCATCACAACAATTTATAGTATAAGGTAAAAGATGCTGACTGGTTGGCAAGTTGACTCTGATTTTTTCTGTGGCAATGCGTCGGCCAAAAAAACAAGAATGTTAGACTCACCAAGTTTCTAGGTAATTCAAAAGGCCCAAGGCTTGGAAATATATCCCATATGTTTGCAGAGAACAGGTCCCTGCAAATCAACGTATGTCACTTTTAGCAAACCTACAGTTACACACTGGCTGATTCATTTAAATTGATTGGTAATGTAGCAATTACCACACACCAGTTAGGTATATAAATTGTAGCTCCCAACTGTTGGCTGATTGAATCAAACATGCTTACAGGGACTTCAAATGGTAGTTTGTTTGCTCATAATAAACAGAGAAGACCATGCTGAATCAGCCTGCACTCGCAAACCCAAAAAAATGTGTATTGTTAAATGTGATTCCATATCTGAGCAGCACTTGCTAAGCAATCCTGAATGTTCTCATAGGTACATTAACAACTAATTTAAGATGATCAGTTGAGCTCACAACTTGGCTCATTTACGCATTTTTTAAAAATTCATTCATGGGATGTGGACATCATTGGCAGCCAGAGTTATTGTCCATTCCTAGTTGCCACTTGAACTGACTGGCTTGTTAGGACTATTTCAAAAGGCAGTTAAGAGTCAACCACATTGATGTGGATCTGAAGTCACATGTAGGCTAGACCAATTGAGGACAGCATATTTTCCTTCCCTAAAGGGAGATTGTTTTTATGACAATTAACAACGGTTCCATGGTCACCATTAGACCAGGCTTTTCAAGTTCTATCTGCCATGGTAGGATATGACCCTATGTCCTGAATGCCTTGCTTGTCTCTCTCGAATACTAGTCCAGTAATAAAACCACTACGCCACCAACGCCCCATGAAAAACTTGGTCAAATTAGTAGGTTTTAAGCAGTATCTTAAGGAAAAGCTAAAGAGGAAGAATAGTTTGGACTGAAAATTCCTGAGATTAGGGATTAGATTTTAACACAGGAATAAGCATGTTAAAATGAAGATTTTGATGAATTGAATGTCAATATGGCAAGTGAACACAACTCAAAGGGTGAATGGGACCTAGTGTATATTAGGACAAAGGCAAAGGCAGAGATATGGATGAACATAGGTTTGCAGACAGAATATTGGCTCATGAGTCTAGAATGGTTTTCACAAATCCTAGTAAGCAACTTTCCAGCCACTCTGTTTCACATTGCTGTAACATCTGAAATTTGCCACAGCTTTGCTTTAAACCAACTATCAAAGCATTATGACCCAAAGTATTATAATAGGTAAAATGTTACTTGCAAAGATTTCACTATATTGCTGATCATTGATATCTATCAAATTCATATGAATTGCTGTAATAAACATTAGTTTGCATGAAAAAGATTAAAACACAGTTTGTACTATGAAGCTTCAAGCTGACCTGCCTTTAAAAGGCTCTTTGCTTGCAATATCACAATTTTAACACATACTAGGTAGGTAGCAAAATTACCTTAAAATGTACTATAATGTTCCATGGTAGTGCGGTGTTCGATGCATGAAGGTCAAAAAGTAACCCAATTGGATAATGCCTAACAAAAAAAAAAGGAAATCTGATTGGTCGTTGAAATATGAAGAAAAATACTCTCGGTAATTTCATGCCCTGAAAATTAAAAGCTGTTTACAGAATATTTGTAACCACATTTGAGTAAGAGGGCAAATTAACTGTTTACATCTGGTGTTTTATTAACACAACCACCAGATTTTTTTTTGAATCATTACTCACCGACTGTCACCCCTATTTTTCTCATCAACCTGTTCGGAGATGTTATTACATGCCTCTGGAGCAGGTGGGATGTGACCCCAGGTCTCTCAGTTCAGGGGTAGGGACATTACCACTGCACCACAAGAGGGTACTTCACCAACCTTTAATACCAAAAATGGGTCAACTTCTCAGTTACAATGTAATAATACATAAATTCATCGAGTGAGTACTTTGGAAGCAAAGTCTGGTACAGTACATCACTTTTGTCTGAAACATTGGGCTGTTTCTTCATCATTAAAATAAGAACAATCTGAGTTGAAAAGGCAATGGAAGTCTGGAATTTTCTTCTGCAAACAGTCTCTGATGCTGAATTAATTGTTAATTTTAAAACAGGGATTGACATTCAGGATGGCAACCTGTAACTAAGTGAAGTGCACAGGAACCAGTGCTGGACCACAATTAATTGCTATATTAATAATGGGATGAGGAAAATGAATGCACTGAAGCTAAGTCTGCAGATGACAAATTGTTAGGAAGGTAAGTCAGGGTGTTAAGCTAACAGAGTTTGGACAGGAATATCGACAGGTTAAGCAACAGTGCAAAAACCTTGCAGATGGAATATAATGTGGAAAAATGTGAAATTATGCACTCTGGCAGAAGATATTGGAACTGAATATTATTTAAATGGAGAAAGACTGCAGAAAGCGACAGAACAGAGGGATGTGGGTATCCTCATCCACGGAAAACAAAAAGCTTGCATCCAAGATCACTAGGTGATAGGGAAGGCAAATGGAATCCTTTATTTCAAAGGAATGGAGTATAAAAGTAAGGAGATTTTGCTAAAACTATTCAAGGGACGAGTCAGACTATAGCTAGAATACTGTAAACAGTTTTGGGCCCCTTATCCAGGGAACGATATACTGACCTTGGAAGCAGCCACAGAAAGTTCATTATGCTGATAACAGTAATGGAGGGACCATTTTACGAGAAGAGGTTGAGTAGTTCTGGCTTGTACTCATTGGAATTTAGAAGGGCGAGAGACGACCTTATTGAAGCACACAAGCTTCTTCAGGGACCTGACAGATGCAGAAAGCTTTTCTGATGAAGGGTCTAGGCCCGAAACGTCAGCCTCTCTGCTCCTATGATGCTGCTTGGCCTGCTGTGTTCATCCAGCCTTGCACCTTGTTGTCTCGGATTCTCCAGCATCTGCAGGTCCTACTATCTCAGATGCAGAAATGTTCCTTCTCCCTGTGGGAGGGCTTAGGAGTGGAAGGCATAATCCCAGAATAGGGGGTTGCACATTTAAGACAAGGGAGACCTTCTCTCAGAGGGTAGTGATTCTGTTGTACTTTAAATGATGTGACATTGACAGATATATGGAGTCAGTCATCGATTAGTCAGGCTCTCAATTCTGCTATACAGACTCGAATGTTAAATGGTTTATGTTATGTTATGTAAGATAACAAGGTGTAGAGCTGGATGAACACAGCAGGCCAAGCAGCATCATAGGAGCAGGAAGGCTGACGTTTCGGGCCTAGACCCTTCATCAGAAATGGGGGAAGGGAAGGGGGTTCTGAAATAAATAGGGAGAGAGGGGGAGGTGAATAGAAGATGGATAGAGGACAAGATAGGTGGAGAGGAAACAGACAGGTCAAAGAGGTGGGGATGGAGCCAGTAAAGGTGAGTGCAGGTGGGGAGGTAGGGAGGAGATAGGTCAGTCCAGGGAAGACGGACAGGTCAAGGGGGCGGGATGAGGTTAGTAGGTAGGAAATGGGGGTGCTGCTTGAGGTGGGAGGAGGGGATAGGTAGGAGGAAGAACAGGTTAGGGAGGTGGGGACGAGCTGGGCTGGTTTTGGGATGCGGTAGGGGGAGGGGAGATTTTGAAGCTTGTGAAATCCTCGGCCTGCTGTGTTCATCCAGCCCTGCACCTTGTTGTCTCGGATTCTCCAGCATCTGCAGTTCCTACTATCTGTGAAATCCACATTGATACCATTGGGCTGCAGGGTTCCCAAGCGGAATATGAGTTGCTGTTCCTGCAACCTTCGGGTGGCATCGTTGTGGCACTGCAGGAGGCCCAGGATGGACATGTTGTCTGAGGAATGGGAGGGGGAGCTGAAATGGTTCGCGACTGGGAGGTGCAGTTGTTTATTGCAAACCGAGCGTAGGTGTTCTGCAAAGCGGTCCCCAAGCGTCCGCTTGGTTTCCCCAATGTAGAGGAGGCCACAACGGGTACAGCGGATGCAGTATACCACATTAGCAGATGTGCAGGTGAACATCTGCTTGATGTGGAAAGTCTTCTTGGGGCCTGGGATGGGGGTGAGGGAGGTGGTGTGGGGGCAGGTGTAGCACTTCCTGCGGTTGCAGGGAAAAGTGCCGGGTGTGGTGGGGTTGGAGGGGAGTGTGGAGCGGACAAGGGAGTCATGGAGAGAGTGGTCCCTCCGGAAAGCAGATAAGGGTGGGGAGGGAAAGATGTCTTTGGTGGTGGGGTCGGATTGCAGATGGCGGAAGTGTTGGAGGATGATGCATTGGATCCGGAGGTTGGTGGGGTGGTACATGAGGACGAGGGGGACTCTTTTTTGGTTGTTATTGCGGGGACGGGGTATGAGGGATGAGTTGCGGGAAATGCGGGAGACACGGTCGAGGGCATTCTCGACCACCAAGGCGGGGGGGAGGTGGAGTTGCGGTCCTTGAAAAACGAGGACATCCGAGATGTATGGGAGTGGAATGCCTCATCCTGGGAGCAGATGCGGTGGAGGCGAAGGAATTGGGAATAGGGGATGGCATTTTTGCAGGAAGGTGGGTGGGAGGAGGTGTATTCTAGGTAGCTGTGGGAGTCGGTGGGCTTGAAATGGATATCGGTTTCTAGGTGGTTGCCTGAGATGGAGACAGAGGTGTCCGGGAAGGAGACAGAGGTATCAGAGATGGTCCAGGTGAACTTAAGGTTGGGGTGGAAGGTGTTGGTGAAGTGGATGAACTGTTCGAGCTCCTCGTGGGAGCACGAGGCGGTGCCAATACAGTCATCAATGTAATGGATCAAGAGGTGGGGTTTAGGGCCGGCATAGGTACGGAAGAGGGATTGTTCCACGTAACCTACAAAAAGGCAGGCATAGCTTGGGCCCATGTGGGTACCCATGGCCACCCCCTTTGTCTGTAGGAAGTGGGAGGAATTGAAAGAGAAGTTGTTGAGGGTGAGGACGAGTTCGGCTAAGCGGATGAGGGTGCCAGTGGAGGGCGACTGGTCGGGCCTGCGGGACCGGAAGAAGTGGAGGGCCTTCAGGCCATCTGTATGGGGAATGCAGGTGTATAGGGACTGGACATCCATGGTAAAGATGAGGTGTTGGGGACCGGGGAATTGGAAGTTCTGGGGGTGATGGAGGGCGTGGGTGGTGTCACGGACATAGGTAGGGAGTTCCTGGACCAAGGGCGAGAAAATGGAGTCAAGATAGGTGGAGATAAGTTCGGTGGGGCAGGAGCAGGCGGAGACAATGGGTCGACCAAGGCAGTCAGGTTTGTGGATTTTGGGAAGGAGATAGAAACGGGCATTGCGGGGTTGGGGAACGATGAGGTTGGAGGCCGTGGGTGGGAGGTCACCTGAGATGATGAGGTTGATGATGAGTTATTTATGTTCCTACCAGTCAGAGTAACCAAACTAGAGAAAATCTGTTGGATCCCAAACATGCATGGGTGTGGAGCGAGTGATGAAGAAGTCAGTCTGGAAAGGAAGCTAGGTTTTTACTGTCTGGGACAGAGAGGGGAGTTGCTGGGAGAAAATAAAGTCATTTCTTTTTATTTCTTATTACAGGAAACTTTAGTTTATCACCAGGCAGCTGTTTCTCATAGTGAAAAGAAAACAGATTACAATTTCAGGTATAAGTACAAAACATACACGATGACTTTCCAAACACAGCATGACTTCCCAAACACAGCATGACCACCCACCCCTCCATCCCAACTTCTGATGAAATTGTTTGGCAACACCACAAATTACACTATTTTGTCTTGATCATAAAATCAGGAACCACATGTCTGAAGGATCTGAACAGACTAGGCAAGGAGAAACTGTTCCCACCCACAAAAGAATTGACAGAGCACAGATTTAAACTAACCTGCCACAGAAGCAAATATATTGGGGCGGGGGGGAGCATTTTCACACAGCAAGTAGTTGGGGTTTGAGGTTGGTAAGGTCAGTTTGTTGGATGGCTTTTTTACAATGCAGAGTGATGTCGACACCATAGATTCAATTCCCGCAGTGGCTGAGGTTGCCAAGTATGACTCTCCTTCTCACCCTCTCCACTTGCCTGAGGCGTGGTGATTCTCAGGTTTAAGCCACTACCAGTCATTTCTCACTAATGAGAGGACAGCCCTAATGTCTGGTCAGACTATGGTACCTTATCCTTTAGTTAGGGTCTGGAATGTAATGCCTGGAAGCATGGTGGATGAATGTTTACTCAAGGCATTCAAGAGAATATTAGATACTTACTTAAATAGAGCCAATATGCATGATTATGGAGAAAAAAAACAGGAGATTTGTACTAAGTCAGAGTGCTCTTTCAGAAGTATGGTGCAGACATGATGGGCTGAATGACCTTCTTCTGCACTGCAACAATTGTCACAATTTTGCCCTCACCCTGCTATATTTCCTACGTGAAGGTCCCAATTTCTGCTGACTGGAAGTCAAGCAGAGTCACTCATCTGTGAAAAATAAAAAGCCCAGTTCAAGAATCATCCCCTAAACAGAATTCATCCATTACAACCGCTTGAATTATAACCAGTCGTTGCAGTGAAACACTGCAAGAGCTACAATCAAATTGTCAAAATAACTCGCAT